AGGAGGGGGGGGGGGGGGGGGGGGGTCCCCACTAAAAACAAAAACCTAGGGGCTCCTCTCCCCACATTACAACTCAACACAAGAAAATCTCTAAAATACAAAACCAAAAAACAGTTAATACAAACAAAGTTATACCCAAACAAAGGAAATAAAACCCAAGCTAACAGTAAAGATAAAAAGAAATTAAATGTCAATGTAACCGATGGAACAAATTGGCCAAAACAAACTCCACAACCATGAGGGAGCAGAGGAAACAAAGTGGAAAACAGCAGGCAGCAACCAAAACAAATCGAGCAGAAGGGATGTAGAAGGAAGCTGCAGAAAAGACTAAAGGCCCAACAATCCAACCAGTCCGCAGGGGGCAACATGATCCAAACAGAGAAATGAAGCAGCGTAACCATGTAATAACCGAGAAGCTGATGAATGAAGCTGCAAAAGAGACTATAAGCCCAACAATCTATCCAGACCGCAGGGGGCAACAAGAACCAAACATGGAAGTAAAGCATTCTGAGCATAGCTAATAACTTCAACATCAAATAACGAAATAGAGAGGGAAGACTCCAGTAAATCCTGCAAGAAATGCAAAGGGACCTGCAACAAATAAAATTAAGAGAACCAAAATCATGCACGAATGTATGGGGAATCTAATTTATCCCCAAGCAAAAGTTTCCTTAGCATATTCGAAGGAAGGTGGCCCACAGAGATCTTAGTATGGCCAATTTTAGCCAAAAAGTCAGCAGGTGCATTACCCTCCCTATGGATGAAAGAATATTGAACCTACAGAGAATGAGTATCAAGAAGATGCCAAATTCTGTTTAAAAGATAATGAGATAAAGCAAATTCCATGGTGGGGCATTGATCTTAGTAAATATCTTAAAAATAGTCATAGAATCAGTTTCAATGACCACCAAGGGAAATTTGTAAATCAGAGCAATCTGGACAGTAAACAGAATAAACAGAACAGCCCAACCCTCCGCCTCAATAGGGCTCTGTGCATAAACAGGAGATGCAAAATAACATGCTAAGTTCCTCAAAGAAACTATGAAAACACCACCCGCACTGGCAGAGTTAGGAGTCCAGCTCCCATCAATATTTGCCTTAACCCAACCATGTGAGGAGGTTGCCATCTAATTAATAGAGGCCTTCCACCCAGATTCTGGTTCTTAAGGTAGGGAAATACCAAAACTTCTGACAGCTTTGTAGTAATAAGAGACAATGTAAGAAACAGTATTGGAAGGGTGAGTGAAAGAATTGGCATGCTTATATTCATTCATGACCAACCAGATAAACCATAACACCACTAAAGGAAAAGATGAAAGTTTGTTGTTGAAATCCTTGGAAGCCTTCCAGGCCTTTAAAATGGCCATCTAAAGTGCCTTTATAAGGCCATCTAACTTGAAAAAAATGTCCCAATCACAACCAAACAAAATGGGAAAAGGAACACTCAAAAAAGAGGTGTGCAAATGACTCCTCCCCACACCTGCAAAGGTAGCATCTTGAAGCCTATCTTTTTTCTTAAGCCTTTTAATATCAGAATGTCATCAAGTGGAAGCAAGGAAAAGAAAAAAACACCATAAGAAGAAGGAGATAGAAGTAGACATATAGCTATGCCATATCATCCTTCCCCATTTCCAATAACCAAAAGTATGAATGTTAGAGTAAAAATTTTAGAAATAGAAGCATTGGAAGTAAACTTTCAAATATGTTTATCAGGCTTATCAAGACATAAAGAAAGTTTAGCAATGGGTTCAACATTATCCCCCCAACAACTCCCTAAGTTTACCCATGTCCCAATGACCATTATCCCAATAATAAGAGACCAACATATTACTAGCCAAATTAAAGTCTTCATCGTGAGAATTGGAAAGCCCCCAATGTCATGCCAAAATGAAACTTTTCCCTCTCCAATATCCCAAAAAATAAATTTATTAGCCACATTTCTAGCCTTTAAAATGGCCTTCCAATTTTTAGAGTCCCCAATCTTCCATTGAACCGTAGAGGGGTGATGCTGAGAGCAATACTTATGTTGCAAAAATTGAGCCCAAAGTGAAGAGCCAAGCCTAAATTTGAACCACAACTTACACATATTAATATCAAGAATATGCTGCAAATTTTTGAAGCCCAAACCTCCAGAGAGATGAGGTTTACACCCTTTATGCCAGTGTGTCCATATTTTGGAGGAACCTTCTCCAGCCCAAAGAAACTTGTGGAAAATATGATCTAAGTCCTTCTGTGTACTCATTTTCATTGAAAGAACTTGCATAGTGTATAAAGGAAGTACACTTTGTAACAAAGTCAGCCTCCCCTCAAATGAAGGCCAAATTTTGAAGGGATGCTTAGGCAACTCTATATATATATATATATATATATATATAACTATTAAAAATTATTTTCCTTTCATAAGTTCTCCATATCAAAAAAAAAATTTAGATGTTTTATTACACCTTTTCAAATCTTACATCACATATGGAAATTATAATATCATTTATATCATTACAAGAGTATTTGAAATATGGAAACAATTCATAAAAAGATAATTGTATAAAGTAAAAAAAAGTGCAACATGATTCAATGCCAATGACCTATGTATTTTATCAAGTTTCACTCGCGAGATTTTTTTTTATACTTTTCTTTTTCTCTTATAAGGTAAGGAAATAATTCTTCCTTAGCGATGATAGAGAATTCCTTGAACCTTTTCTACTTGAAGTTTGAGGCAAGTTACTCAATGCCTTTAACTAATTAAACTAATTATCACAATTGTTTATGAAATTTAATCTATCACAAAAACATAAAAAAGCTTTTGAAGTCAAAATTTCAAACCATAAGAAATATGAAGTGCGAAGAAGAGCAAGGTAAGCAATTTGTGCCCTGAAATGTTCTCTATTTGGTATCTCTTACTCTAGGCCTTGTATGTTGTTGCCCTTTATGTTTTAAGCAAAAATATTCTCTTTGTTTTGAAATGTTCTCCTATATTAAATGCCTATCCAAATAGAATCCTAAATCTATTTAAAAAAATATTGGTTGATTGTACATTATAATTAAAATTATACATGTTTGTTAACTAAAGTTTATTTGGATCAATCTTCATGTAAATCTAATGAAGTAATTTTAATTAAAAA